AAAATAAAAGACGGTGGCGACTCTTGCTTACCGCGACATTTTGCGAAAACAAACGCAAAACGCAAACCAGCATTTCGAAAAACAGTCAGTTCTCTCCCACCGTATCACATTGATCTTCTCACATTTTATTCAATTTAGGCTTCGATGGGGGCTGGTTTTGCACTCTCAAATTCTGCATAAATTGATTTTTCCCTGATGTAACCGGTTACAGCTTTTATGTAACTGGTTACAAGTTGTTGTAGCTCCTTGATTTTGTCAACAAAGATGTCTCGACTGATCACAATTCTCCTATTTGATAATCATACAACTTGTAACCACCGGTAGAGTGATACCTTACAAGTATCATTAATTCTCCCTTGTCATCCAGCTTCTTTCTAAGCTTGCCCGTAACATGTTGATAAGCTACAAAACCAAAAACTCTTAAATGGTTCAGATTTGGTTTAAATCCAGACCATGTCTCTTCCGATGTTGTATTCTCAAGCTCCTTTGTTGGACACCTATTCAACAAATAGGAAGTTGTGGATGCCGCTTCTCCTCATAATTCTTTCAGCAAGTTCTTCCCTTTCAACATGATTCTCACCATGTTCATAATCGATCGATTCTTCCTTTCATCAACACTATTTTACAGTGGTGTATAAGGTAGTACTACCTCATGTACTATCCCATCTTGATCACAAAATCTCCTAAAGTCATTTGATACGTATTCGCCTCCACCATCTATTTTGAGAACTTTGATATTGTGACCATTTTGTCGCTCAACCATGGACTTGAAATTCTTAAACACTTCCAATACCTTATTTTTCCTCTTGATTAGGAACTTCCATAGATTTCTACTATAATCAATCGATGAATGTGACAAAGTATCTATTTCCCCTAATCGAGTCAACTTGTATCAGTCCATACACATTGGAATACACTACCTCAAGGTGATGCTTGGTTCTACAACCTCCATCCTTGCTGAATTTTACCTTGAGTTACTTTGCTTGTACACACTCTTCACAAATTCTAGTCAGTATGTTGATGAATGGAAACCCCGTTACCATTCCATTCTTTTGCAATGCATTGAGATCTCTGAAATTAAGATGCCTAAGACGATAGTGCCATATCCACTCTTCTCGACTAGCCATTGTAGCAAGACACTAATGCTCCATAACCTTTAGCTCAACCTTGAAAGTTCTATTGGCATTCATAGGAGATTTTAGGACCAAAACCCTGTTTGCATCCATAATGCATAACACCTTGTTCTCCATGTTAATCTTGTAACCCTTCTTAAGCAATTGACCAATACTTACAAGGTTACATTTGATTCGTGGAATGTACAATACATCTTTGATCAATGAATGTCCACTATCCTTTCTCATGATCAAAAAATCATCGATCCCATCGGTCGTTAGAGTGGTTTCATCAGCGAACATTACTTTGTTCTTTATTGCATGATTACTTTTGACAAACCAATTTTTCCTACCCGTCATATGCGTAGAACACTCGGAGTCCAAATACTATTCCTCATTGCACTGAACTGCTTCTTTCATAGTCATAGAGGTTATCAGACTCACGAGTCTACTCTGACTCATAAAGGGCCTGTAGACTCAACTAGTAGACTCGACTCACAAACTCGTACGAGTCTATGGCAAAATTAAAATTGACTTTAAAAAATATGTAAGTGACACATATATGGCACACACATATATTTTTAAACTTGTAAATGCCTCGTATATAAAACAAATATATATAATAGAACACAAATTAACATCAAAATTTAAATCTCATACTCCATAACAAATTTTTTGACAAAAAAAACTCGATAATGAAACAAATAAAAGAGCAAAGTATGTAGTTAAAGACTTAAAGTACTAACTTCTTAATTGGCTAGTGGTTACTACATAAAAAATAAAAATCATAACACATATATGCTAATAGCTTCAAACACCCAAAGCTCTGGTGAAATCATCACCACCAATATCATCACCATCACCTTCATCGGTATCTTGAGATGCTTTAAAGCTCCAAAGCAATCGCAATATCTGCAACCACCACCACCCTCGCGACTATAATTTAAAACAATTTCCCTACTCAAACTATTCTAGCCTTATGTCAAAACAAATTCTGAATTAAGGTATTTTTATGTCTCTATCTTCAATGTCGTCCAATCACTCGAGCTTCCCTTACAACACTTGTACGCATGTTTCTTATAATTATCATTAATAATTAATTAATTAATTAATTAATTAATTAATAAAAATGTAGCAAATTTTCATGTGAGCAATGCATTATTTCAAAATAGACTAAAACATTTTCTGCAATAAATCATAATTCATTTAAAACATTTTGTCACGTACAAATTGATACACGGGGATCGTGATGAGTGGACTTGATTGAACAATGGCGCGTCACTTTTACACAAAAGAACCTACAAGAGAACATATAATAAATCATTCAAGTGAAACATACAAGAAAATACTTACACAACAAAGGATTGATTTATGACAATAAACAAGAAAAAAAATCAAGTCTATGAGAGGGAGGAATAAACTTTGCTGAAACAAATGACTATGAGAGAGACTTTCTAATTCTCGTACAAGAAGAAAAAAAGGATTTTTTTAAATAAAATAAAATATTTTGGGGGAATTTGAGCCTTTTTTGAGACTTAAAAAACAAAATTCAGAAAAAATTATAGACTTGTAAACTCACCATAAATTCATGAGTCTACACAAGTTTGTGCGAGTCTATCCGAGTCTACTCGAGTCTATCAAAAAAATATTTTATGCACGAGTTTACTCATTTTTGCTTCCAAGACTCGTAAACTCGTACGAGTTTACGAGTCTACCTGCGAGTTTGACAACCATGATAGTCACAATTACATTTTCTTCTGCTTGTAACTGATTACAACTTTTACGTAACTGATTACAACATGTAAGTGTAGCGTTCCCAAAATTGTTGTTGTTACTCTCCCACAACATGTTGTTGTTACATTCTCATTTTGTGATCATGACCAAGAGTGTGTTCTCTTCATTAAACTCTTGTCTTACAACCTTGTCTTCATCCACTTGAGGTTCCTTCTTGTTCGCGTTGCACTCTCTTGCAAAATGACCAAACTTTTGACAAATAAAGCATTGTATCTTGCTCTTGTCAATCTTTCCCTTTTTACCTCTAAAGTTACCTTGACCACCATTCTTGTTGCAACTGCTCTCACCCTTTTGACAAGCCAAATTATTGAAACTTTAGGACTCTCTTCCGTTGAAATTTTAGAAACTCTCTTTACTATTCATGAGCCATTTTCTTTCGACTTCTTATATTTCTCATTAAAACAAGCTTGCAAAGCGATCTCCACCTTTTCCTTGTTTTTATTTCTCTCCTCCATCCTTTGCTCATGAGCGTCGAGAGAGCTTTGAAGCTCCTCTTTGCTCATCGTCGCAATATCCTTCGATTCCTAAATCACTACGAATATATTATTGAATCTTGTCGTCAAAGAATGCAAGATTTTCGCGATAACATACTGCTCTGTAACAGTTTCTCCACATGCTTTTATTTGTTTCACCAATAGAGTAATTCCCGGCCGCGTAATATTTGATTGTCTCTTTTTCCTTCATTTGAATTAATTCAAATTGATGTTTGTGAGTTGTAACCTCACCACCTTCGCCTTGTCAGCCCCTTCATATGTCTTCTCCAAGATTTCCCACGCTTGCTTTGACGATTCACAATCGCCAACTTTCTCAAAGTTGTCACCATCCACTTCATGAACATCTTAGTAGCCAAACTACACATTCATTTGTTGCACCATTTGTCGTAACTCTTCGTATCAATAATGGGTAGGTTTGTAGGGATTCTTTCATTAGAGACCGAATTTATATTGCACACTAGGTGTTTGATGTCAAATGTTAGAACTTGGAATCACTTGATTGGTGAAAATGTAGGGTTTGAATAACATTACTCTTACTCTAAGAATAATGTTATTTTGACACCATTTAATACACCAACACCGAATTTCACTGTTCACCAATACGATGAACAGTAATATATATATATATATATATATATATATATATATATATATATATATATATATATATATATATATATATATATATATATATATATATATATATATATATATATATATTTTAAAATATAATTTTGTTTTTAGATTATTTACTAATATAAACTTATGCGATTAGCCAACTTCATAATTTTATTAATCAACTGTTAATATTTCATTAATCAACTTTAATTTATTACTTAAAATTAATTTTAATATCTGATCGTTTATTAATAAACTTTATAATTTCGTTAACCAACGTTTTACATTTCATTAATCAACTTTGTTTTATTACTAAAAACAATTTTAAATATATAGACTTTTATTAATCAACTTTATTACTTTATTAATTAATATTTTACGTTTTATTAACCAACTTTATTTACTACTAAAAAATATTTTTAACATTTGTGTGTTTATTAACCAACTTCACTATTTCATTACCAACTTTTTACTTTTCATTAACCAATTTTATTTCACTGCTAAATTTTTTTTAATATTTGAATGTTTATCAACCAACTTTATTAATCGATTTTTTATATTTCATTAACTATCTTTATATTACCACTAAAAATACTATTCATGTACTATTCACATGTGATGTTCACTACTCACAGTGAAAATTACCTAAATATAAATATTTGATACCATTTTAAGTGTCAAAATATCATTACTCTAACTCTAATTAGATAAATTTTCTAAAATTCGATTGAATAACAAAAAAGAAAAAGAATTAGATAAGCTTAGAACTTTACAAGTGATTCATTAATATATCCACAAAATTAAAACCTTATAAATCACTGTAAAAAATTATTATTGGTACTAAATTAGCCTATGGATTGATCCTATAAAAAATTGACCAACCCAAACCCGAATTGTTGATCCGAAATTAGCCTTTTGGATATATAATAAAAACTATCCACAAAACCAACCCGACCCGACCCTATACCTATCCCATCAATTATTAGAAATTCCATAAAAAAGTATCGTTAATTATTAATCCATCCAAATTCTCTTCTCCATAATCATAATTAGGAAGCTCCGGAACATAAAAATCCCCTCCAAAATCATCAAAACTCGGAAAATTTGAGTAATCGGGTTCACTATTACCCGACCCGTTCACAGCAAACAAATCCGAAAACAACCCATTTTGCTTCGAATCACAATCCATCTGAAACGTCGATTCCGAAACCGCCGGAGACAGTGATTCCGATTCCATAGGCAACAACAATGCAGTTCCCTCAGAAGGAGACTCCACCAAATTATTATCGGGTTGACCCGGATCCGTATCATGAATGTAAGAATTCGCAAAACGGGCTGCAGCAGCCTGAATCTGAGAAGGAGTCATAGACCTTCCTCCAGCTATCTCAGGAATATTACCCGGAAAATTAAACCGTGCACCACTGCCACGTAAGCAAAACATAGCCGCGTCGAATGCACGCGCCGCCTTCTCAGCAGAGTCATAAGAACCTAACCATATCCTCTGACGGCTGTTCGGTAGTCTGATTTCCGACACATATTTTCCCCATTTCCTCTTCCTCACTCCTCGGTAAACCGAATCACTTCGTTCCGCCGCAGGTTGTTGTTCAATGTTGGTCTTCACCATGGTTTTTACTTTAGTACGATGTTGTTTTTTTTTTTTTTGTGTCGTTTGTTGTTGGAACCGAAACACGAAACTAAGAAAGTATTTTTTTAAAATGAGGAATAAAATCTCTGTCGTTTGCTGTTTTGTTTTGGCTGCGTTTGAGAGTGAAAGTATTTATATATAAATCAAGTACAAAGAAACGAGTGAAAAAAGTTTGACTAACTGTTAAAAGAGTCAACACTCTAAGTTCTAAGACGTGTATTTTGATTTTTGAGAGAATAATAAAACTGGATCCATTAGATTGTTACACGTGTACGATCACGATAGATTTATGATTTTCCCCAAACTCATACGCGTCGTGAAGTGTCTCTAGACAACAAAGTTGAAGCATGTGATCTTAATAAAAGATGCATGTGAATTAAAAATGGGTGATGAAAACAATGTGCATTTTTTTTCGAGTTTTGAATTCATTGAGGGATTTTTGTTTTTTGTTTTGGAACAATGTATGGTAATTAATGTGTTAATTATTTCCAACGGTGGACCGGTTTTTACTGCCAGTGGTTTTAATTTTCATTCCTTTGGGGTTAAGCAGTTCATATTCCCAATACTTTAATTGTCTGTTCAATTTAATTTTCTAGATGACTGAAAAACTAATTCTCGTTATTTTTGAATTTTGATTATAAATATAATTATTTTTGACTAAGTAGTATACGAATGAAATAAAGTAGTAATAACTTAGCAATAAATTATACAATTCTTTTTTATTATAAATTATTTTAACATTTTTATATAAACAAAATGTAGTTTTATTATATGAAAAATGAAATTATAAATGATTTTATAAATTTTTTTATTAATGATATTTAAAAATAAATTTAAAAAATAAAAATAAGAGAAAATTCTAAATACTTAAAAGTATAATAAAAAATATCATTAATCCCTCTGTCTTTTAGTTTTTTCTTTATCTCTTTGTAGCCTGAAACATTTTTGATCCACTTCTGTACTTCTTAGTTTTTGATAATAAAATTTCTTTTTCTTCAAAAAAAATATATTTTTAATAATTTATTGAAATTGTAAAATAATTTAAAATTCAATACACTTTTTTTAAAAATAACTCATGATAAAAGTGAGGGTCTAATATTAATTTTCGGAATTTAAATTTAAAAATAAAGAATTATTTTAAATTTTTCTTATATTTTTATTATTAATTACTGAAAAATATAAATAATAGAAGTATATTGATAAAAAATAATTAATTTAATTGAAAATTATAAAGAGATTTACATAAAGAGACAAATCAATTCTAGAGTCCTATGAGACAAATCAATTCTAGAGTCCTATCCATAAAGAGGGGAGGTAAGAAATGAAAAACATGCTCCTTTAATTTTAAAAATAAATAAAAAGTTAAACAAAATTAATTCAAATTTGAATAAATATATTTGATGTTTTACTTTAAGATAAGACAAAAGCGAGCAAGCAAAAAATTATAAGCATCTCTTATAGACTGTTTGGACCCAAGTCAAAGGGTCCCCAATACGTCTAAGTAAAACTATAAAAGAACGTTTTTAAAATATCACGTTAAAAGTATTTTAGGACATGAAAATTGAATATCTTACGCAAATATAAACGTATACGTAATATATACATAATTAAAAAAAGACTTACTATTTTTTCTATTATTTTAATTTTAAAATTGATTAGATAAAATTAAAAATATATTTATTATTATTATTGTGTGTAAGTGATTTGAAACGTTTGACAAAACTTATCTTCTTTGCATGTTAGTTTATTTTTTTTGAAGAGTCAATTTTATGATTACGCACTATGAGTCAAAAATCACAGATGATTGCTCGATCATTATAGGTGAACTCTGTTTACTCTTCAATTGCTTATGTCTTTTTCAGAGAGGAAACTCCATTTGTATCCATGCCACTGATCTTGAAAAAATGAAGAGTATCCGACGGGTGGAGTCATGGTGGGGAGATACAACCTGTTCTTGAACGTGATCAACCCCGTTCATGGCTTCACTTGCAAAATCATACTCAGCATTGTGGCCGCCCTCTTCTTCAGGGTCGACACTCACATATAACTAATTAGCCCAATTAGAAATGTCAATTCTATCATTGTCAGGTAAAGAAAGGATACATCTACCATGAATCATCAACCCGTAAAAGTCTCGAGACACAGAAATCATCCCTTGATTAATAAGGGAAGCCATATCAATTTTACTCTTTCCACCCACAACGAGTTCCTCAAACAAAAGCCCACCATAACCAAAATGATCAGCTATCTGGGTAATCATACCCCACTGAAATACCACCTGAGTCAGCGCGGCTGTTGTACCCCAAAATTTGCTCTCTCATTTATCAAGATTTTTCTCACAAGATCTTTTGGACTGACCAGCTCAAGACATCTCATCATGCACTGATAACTCAAAATTAGGGTTTGGAATTGCACAAAGATTTTTGGACTATCAATGCTTCATATGACTTTCAAGTATCATTATGGACCCCTAAGATTACTCATGTCAAGTTTCAAGCCTTGAATCATATTTTTGATCAATCAATTGGACAGTTGACCTAAAAATCAATTGTATTAGGGAAAAAGTCAACCATGGCCAATTTACAGTCAAACTTCATAATTTTTGATCCACATCAACATTTTAGGCTCATATGTATCATTTGATCAAGTTTGGACCACAATTCCTCAAGAAATTTGATCAAATCATCAAAAGGACAAGATGGTCAAAATTAGGGTTTTGACTGAGAGAGGGCAATTTCTGATTTTTGACCTAGCAAATGACCAATTGGTTTGAAGCATGATTTCAAGAGTTCAATTGCATCATCTTGACCTAAAGATATGGTTCAAAACATTGCAAATACATTGGATTGACATATGAATTGATCAAAAGTCAACTGTATACTGAAAAGTCAAACTTTGACTTTTTGGTCAAAATTAAATGCCAAGGATCACAATTCATCAAAACATGTCAAAATGTGAAACTTTTTCATCAAGAAATCAAAGATTGAAGATTTTGTTTTGAAATTTGAAATTTTCTTAACTTAGAATTTTTTCTAAGTATAGAAAATTTCTTATTTTTTCTCAACTTTAAGTCAAATTCTCACCATGATACAAGATGATTCAAAGAAAGTTCCCAACATGAAAGTTGTAGATCTCCATGAAATATACAACTTTGCCTCACACAATTTCTCCTAAAGATGCTTGGATCTCAAGATATAATTTTGTGAATACATGCTCATGAACTAAAATAACTTAGTGAAATTTTGCCCTAATTTAGGCAGGTTTTTGACCTAACTTCATGGTAACTTTTCACCTAGTTCCAAGTGGAATCTTGGAAAGCAATTCAAATATGAGTTATAGATCACATTGCAAGCTTTCTAAAATATCCAATAACTCCTTGAGATCATTCTTGAGTAGGGAGAATCGAAGAGATGAAGTTGGCAATTTCTCACTTTGATTTCAAGCCATTTCATGATGAACCAAAATTCAAATCCAAACCTAGGCTGCATAATCCTTGCTTTACAGGTCTCAAACTTGTTTCTTACTCCATAATTAAATTCTTACACAGTTGATAAAGCTTTAATCCAAGCATGAGAGCCTTTATCCAAGCTATAATTCCATAAATGGCACAAAGTTGCCATTTCCATTTTGGTAAAGCACAACTTTTGCAATTGTCAACTCCTTGAGCTTTGCACTTGTTCTTTCTGCACACACAAACCTATAAACCAAAAGTAATGTATCTAAGACTTGTACCAACTCAGCTCAGGCTTGTACAAGCACATAGAGAGTTGTCTTTTCACTTTTCTTCAAAAGCAAGCAATAGAGCAAAAAGTCTATAACTCAGAAATCTTGAGGAAGCTTGAGGTCTAACCTTTTCTATACTTATACAAAAATGTATTGTGACTTAGGGGATGATGGCTAAAGCTCAGAAACTCTCCTAAACCCTCTATCACTAAAAACCTGCCATAACTTATAGTTTTTCATCTTGCATTGCAATCTCAAAAACTACTCGTGCGTTTCAAGTTCTAATCACCCAAACACTTAACCTACATTATATCTAAGTGTTCCAGATCATCATCCTTTCACTGTAACTCCTCCTTGTCCATCTGCCATTTTTGCATTTCAAGCTTGCAAGTTGACTTGAATAGGGAGATTCAAGAACTCTCAAGGCAAAGTAAGGATTGGAACACACTCAGGGAGGTCCAGGCAAGCTAAACAGATTCTTAGGCCTTCTCAAAACTCACTCAAATTCCATTCACGATCTCAACTGAAAGAGGTAAAAACTCTAACTTCTATCTCTTCATACAGGCATCCTTTGGTCTCGATTTGTGAAAATAAAATGTAGATATCCTTGTACTAAAGCCAACCATGTTCATAGATTTCATTTATATTCATTGTGTATAGAGAATTTTAGATTTGAAATTTCTGTAAAAATTAGGTTTGAAATTAGGGCCAGTAAAATTAGCTTTGATCTTTAACTTTTAGTTTACATGAGTTACATGGTTGAAATCGTGGGAAGGAGTACTATAATTTTCATGTTTGGAGTTTCCATTTTCATGGAGAAATGAGAGAGATACAAGTGGTCCGGCTAGCTAGAGGAAGAAGACGAAGTACAGGGCAAGGAAGTGATTCATGTTATGTATTTTTGTTTTCATTTGAACTAACGGATGTACAGCCACCCCAGTGGTAAGGCAGTGCGAAAAAATGCTTAAGGTCACAGGTTCGAGCCTTGGCGCTGCCTTTTTGCATTTTTCACATTTTTCATCCATTTTTTTGTTTGTTTGCAGCGTGGGCTTCCACATTTGGGCCCTATGTTTTTTTTAACACCCACCTTCTGATTACTCAAGACACCCCTGGCCCAATCATTTTCATTTATTTATTTTATTTTGTTTTACTTCATTAATATATTTGTTTAAATATTATAAAATCATAAAAAATATAAAAATGATAAATGTTATATGTTGTTTATTTTACTTTATTTTCTCATAAAAAATATTTTT